TGTTATAAGTGATCATTGTTCCTCATTAGTATATGTGACAGTTTGCGTTCCGTTTTCATAGTAGGATCCTTTTTTACTTTGCTGTAGTTACCATTGATAATGAGGTCTTCCAGTTTTCTTGTATAATCTGATTTGTTCATTACTACAGTCGCATTACCTTTGTCAGCCGGTAGTATGATTATATTTTCGTTCCTCTGTAGGATCCAATCAAAACATGTAATGATAACAGCAAACATTGCAATATGATCACTGGTAAAAATGGTTGCTGAAGACATTAGGTTCATAATACCCAGAAATTCATACACAGGTGTCCTCAAGGACACATGGCACAGTGGATAAAGGCGTTGGTTAGATCCAGAGACAGAACACAAAGAGTGTGAGTTCAAAAGAGAACTTTCAGAGGAAAAATTAGCATGAGATAACTGATAAACATGGCACGTGGAACTAGAACAGTCTACCCCCGTGAGCGAAATAAAGGGTTCACCTGAAGAAGGCCGGAGCGTACAACGGCAGAAACGTTGTAATAAATATGGCGACAAAGATGAGGACAATAGTCCGAATAATGTAAATAATATTTCTCACATAGTAAACTCGTTTGGTTATCTGTTTAGTAAGAACTATTATTTTAAACTCCAGCTGTCTCTAGTTTGCTTGGCAGCGAGGATAAAATGTAGGAAATAGTTAATTTCGGAGTTTTGTAAATGTTAGCGCCGAGTTGGCTCCTTAGCTTTGTTTCGGAACCAATCTAAAAAAAAGAATTTAATATATCTAAAGACATCTGTATTTTCCCTGTATATATTGTAAATCTCGTTGATATATGGAGACATTAATTTCGCAGCGTCCAAAGGGAATAAAAATCACCCAAGTTTAGTTTAGTCCAGCGAAGTAGGAGCAGAGTTATATAATTCGTTCATTCATATGTTCTAGATTAGTTCGCTGGTTATGGCTGACAAACGACTCACCCTACTGAAGTTTGTAGCGCAAATTCAGTGCTGATTTAATGTATTGCTATGTACAAATGCACAGTAAAATGTTTATTAACCGGTTGATAAGCAAAACGGCTTCGTAGCAGCATTGTGCAATTGTAATGAAATTTGAAATAGGGCTTATTCCTTTTTCGATCAATTAACTGCAGTGTTTTAGGGAATATTGGAAATGGACTCTGGGGTAACGGTTATACATTTATGAAAAGGGAATCGGCAAAACGAATTCTCTTCGCAATATTGCCCTTCGGAATGAAATGTATTCACATCTACCGGCGTTCTTTCCTGTCAGCTACACACTCATATTTCGCAGACTGCGCAGATGAATGTGCGGGCCAAGTTTCACAACACTCTAGGCTTTGCCGCTGAGGTTTCTACAGTAATTAGATTTTTACGTTAAAGATTTAGATATCTGGGAAGTGTTTTAACACAGTACGGAAAGGGTAACACTGAATATCTAATGTGCATTGAGGTAGGCAAAGATGCCTTCAAAAAGCTAAGCAGAGGATTAAGAAATAGAAAGAAATTCGCTAAAATCATGGAACAGTGAACTAAACTAGTACGTGATATCCTCAAAGATGGGTCGAGGATTTGAAGCAAAAGTAATTCTCTAAAGGATGGACAGACAACTGAAGAAGTTCGTAGGACACAACTGCCGAAACGTTGTTTTAACAACAGCAAAAATAATGGCAGGGTTCCAAATGTAAATCATGAAAATAATAACAACTCTTCATCCCAGAAATCCTGAGAGACCATATGATTAATATCAACTTTAGGTGATGAGTAACAAAAATTTGTTTATGACTAACGAATACTTCACGATACGTTTAAAGATGGACAAGTTTAAAATTAAAACCATATTCAACAATAACCTTTCTTGGATTTTAACCAAATGCTTAGTAAATTGTTATTTTTCTTTGACAAATTTAACTGCGAGATTAAAAGAAAAAAGAATATATAAAAAATTCGAAATTAAACGACAAAAGAAAATATAAAAAAGTGCTTGGCTCGAAAAAAAAAATCTGATTTGAAGCGTAACTCTCTTTTATTGTCTATTACACACATACACAAGTATATATACGTGTCACTTATCAGAAAAAAGTGATGTTAAAAACATATATCAACCCATATCATATATAAAGCCACAATTTACAAAAAAAAATATACGAAAAATTCTGGCCGAAAACAGTAAAATCCAATATATATCAACGGAAATGTTAGACGGGATATGCATATTAAACTCTCTCCCATACTATTAATGTCACCTCACCTAGAAATGTGGAAATGGAGGGTTAAAACTTTTTTAAAATAGAAAGACGTTCACGCGAATTCCAGCCGTACTCAACAGGGGAAGCTCAGGAATAATCGTCCCTATTCAAAACAACAGACAAAAAAAGATACAACTTAAATAGACAAAAGATGTGGAAAAACTAACAGCCCCCAAAATAAAACTCACTTGAAAACAGCTAAAGAAGTGGTCGAAAGCGCTTGGTACAATGAAAAATCTGAAAAGTTTGTGTCCTCCATTACTCACACAAAAAATAAAGGTACTGGAAAAATTATGCCTTCCATATCAAAATATTTAATGAAAGATATATATATATATATATATATATATATATATATATATATATATATATATATATATATATATATATATATTCATTTAAAAATGCCCCTAATTAGTGAATACTATATTCATTTTAAAATACGCAATATAATAACAAATATAATGTAATACAGTTAATATGAATTATAAAATCTTTACCTTATCAAGTAGAGTTTCAACCTGACTACAGGAGTAAACTTGTGTTACTCCTGTATTCAAGGTTCGACAGGCAAGTGTATATGTTATATTTCTAATAAAAATATATCCTGGCCCGGCGAAACCTGTTTTCAGGTTGAAACTCTGCTTGATATGTTAAAGATTTTATAATTCATATTAACTGCATGGCATTATATTATATATATATATATATATATATATATATATATATATATATATATATATATATATATATATATATATATAATAATAATATTATTATTTTTTTAAAATATGTATTCATTGCGACACAGAAATTACTCTGTTTCGATACTGGAACTTAAATACCAAAAATTAACTTTAAATATTAAAATTAAAAATCACAGTCCGGTTTCATTCTCAGGCGAAGTTATGAATAACTTACAAAAAAATTAATTTACTCTATTCATAAGTTAAGTTTGTGTTGTTAAGGGAATACTCAATGTACAAAGGTTTGAATTATTTTTCATGTCAAATTCCCCATCTATTTATCTATATACATACAGAAATACACACATATATGCATGTATATATCGATAGATTAAAAATATATGTAAATATATATTCAATTGATATATATACATATATATATATATATATATATATATATATATATATATATATATGTAAGTGTGTGTCTGTGTATGTAAAAGTTCAGCTATGAATAAAATATATATGAAATACAATAAATTTAAAAGATAAAAGGGAATCTTTTTGTACTAACGAATTTCGTGCCTTGAGAAACATTATCATGATATTTTATTTCGACAAAACTTATGTGTATCAATACACCTTGTGAAATAAAATCTCCACATTTAACTTCTTAAAGTTCCTGAAGGGAAGAAACTCCTTGGTAAAAAAAAGGTTCCATTTTGTATTATATGTATAGAACAGGAAGAAACATATATTCGATTTTAATTCCTTAGAGGCATGTAGAAATTGCTTGAATGCTGTGAATATGCCTTATAACGAAATAGAAGTAACTGGTACTTTAAGATTCATCAATTCCCAGTGACTGATTCCAATTATGTATGAATATTCAGACAGTTTTAAAAGCATACATCGTTTTCTGTAGTTTATTTGTAGGAATTCACCTAGATTACTTGAGTCTATCCTTATCAACATTACCGAGATCTCCAATGGAAATATCTCTACCTATTAATTATCTGAAATGAAGATGCAGAATTTGTCTCTACACGTATTTTAAAACGATACAAATATTCTCAAAAGTTAGTTATTGTCAGGATTTGAGCTACAGAATTATATCTACCAGCGAGATTCAAGCACTGAAGTAATCGTCTGTGAATCGTCTTTTCAGCTTACAAATTTTATACGTCGGGAGAACTGAATATTTTATTTGTAGCATTAAAAATCGATACACCATCACACTATGATCATCAGCCGTCGTAAACGACCGAGTCGAATCCTTAACAGTTATATGTGTATACGTCTTTTTTTTTGTAGGCTGCTACCTCAATAAAGTACATTATCAAAAGAGGATGAGATATTTTGGACGAACGGTCATCATTGCGCTGAGTTAGTAAATCTTACCGTAGAAAAGCGAGCCGTTTTTGCGATGTCCATGAAATAATAGAGCGCTGAAAGCAGTGGTTGTTTCACAGACCATTAAATAAAGCGATCGTTTTTATAGTGCTGTCTGAGTCTGGTTACAGAATCTCACATTAAATACAAAGAAAGTGTCCAGTATGCAAATATATAGTGCAGATCAGCGTTAAAAAAAAACACAAAAAACAAAAAAAAACTCTAAAATCTATTCTGTCAAATCATTCACAAGAATTTTATAAGCATTTTAAATCTCTTGGGATGAATATTTTAATTAAGCATCCAATTTGAAAAGGCTTAATAACTCAGAGCATGGCGCATAACTTGGTAATCTAGTTCTGCTAACTATACACAAATGTAATAAAATGAATGTGCGGGCTTAGTACAATTATATATGTAAATGAACTGATTGATTTGAGTTTTAAAGCTTATTAACATACTGCAGGTTATTTAAAGCCCGAATTTTTTTAAGTTTGTAAGAATTTCTTTTAGCGATAATTATTATTTAGTGATACAAATCCTATTATCAAACCATAGCTGGTGCATGAAATGGTTGATTCCTATCTTCTTCAATGCTATTTGTAAATAAGTAAATATAGCAAACCCGACTGAAATTGGAACTCGACTCTCCAATTTCCAGTTGCGAGCATGGCCAAGTGGTCACCCATGTAAGAACTGACCAGGTTCGACTTTGCTTAACTTCTGGGATCGAACGGAAAGCGGTGTTTCAATCTGATATGGCTGTAAGCCTAATAAATGTAGAGATAGACACAGATAATTTAAGGTTTCCATACCACATCACAAACGTATCAACAAATATAAGACATCTATCTTGGTTTTTCTTACCGAGGCCAATCCACTGATGGTGAAGTTGAGATCTATGACGTCGGCATAGATATTCCTAGTTGAGATAAAAATGACCTCGAACAAATTCAACATCGTGTACCAAGTATTCCAAGAAATAGAATTCAAAATATTTCCAAAACAGAAAAAAATGATCTGGAATTGGAATGAAAGCAATGGTGATACATACACTAAATTCATCATAGACATTCAGGATGCGGAATTAGTAAATATCAAACATTTCAACTATGTCAATACATTGATTAGTTATAACATATTTAGTATAAGAGATAATGTAACATAACATATAATAGATTCTGATATGTATAGTTTCGCCCAATGCTAAAAAAAGCCAATACATTAATCTGAAAACTCGAGTCATGTACTTAAATAGTCTCATCGCATAAAGCCTTTCGTATAGATGTCGTAGATAGCGAAACATCCTTTCAGATTTATCCAAAATTTCAGCTGTATACAAAAGTTTTCTTAGAACATTGGTTAAAGATAGCTTTGAGCGAATGAATCTTATGATTCTTCGTGAACACCAGACATCTTCGAATTTTTTGGACTGGCGCTACTTAATCACAAACAAAGAACTGTGAAAAAGTAAGTAAGGAATTCACAATAAGTACTGGAAAGAGCGATAACAGCTACTGGACATGAGAAAAATCTTTTCCTGAAAATTTATTTAAGGAAAAAAAAATTATCAATTTCAGTCTACTGCAGCACTGTTTGTTGGTCAATGAGTGCCAAATATTTCCTTATAAAGGAACGGATAATATTGTCATTATCATTAACAAAGAACGAAGCAAAATTTTAATCTTTCATTGTTTTAAATTACATTTTATTCACTCCAGTAGTACATCAGTTAATCTCACCCCGTTAACCTAGAATTCGCTTACAGAACGTGGACATTATATTCTCGGCCTCCGATCTGTGATTGACTGCCCCAAATCATCTTTGGATCCACTGTTTGTATATCCACTTGTCCCATATTTTCTTTCTCACGCTTGAAATACATATGCACGTGTGAAGTCAACTTAGTCTGCATTCCGTGACACGGAGTGATCACAAGTCGAACCCTGGTTCATCCAAGTTATTTATGGACTCATCTGAATTGTATTCAATGTCACTTTGGTCATCATAATAAACATTTTAAATTCAATGGATGTCATATTATTGAATTTATGCAAGGGTAATCTAATTTTAGTAAAAAACATACATAAAATGCAGGCTCGCATATTTATAAAGAAACATTCTCCTAAATTTAATAAATATTAATTTGTATTAGTCTGTGTGTGTGTGTTTCTTTCATTGTTTTTTCTTTTAGTGAAGCGTAATATTGCACGTGGGAAATGGCCGTCTGTGTGAGAAAGAGTTCGTTGAGATCTAATTCCGTGTAATTGCCAATGAAGGCAATGTAACTTAATTGGCGATGTCTGTGTCTTTTGCGAATAAAATGCAACAGGTAATATTTGGCTAACATGTTTCAGCAACAGCGTTTAATATTTCATGTGTTCTATCCAAATGAAACATATGAAAGATTACAAAAAAAGTTATGTGCCCACACCCAGCAGAATAACATGACATTGAATTCAGATTGGCTGTTTTTAATAAATGGCTACCAACAAAGTCTAAGGCAATCTACTTTATGCTGCGACTGAATACTTATTTTCCAGTAGGGGGAAAGATATTTGATATCATTTTCAAGTACATTAGTGTGATAGTCGGATTAACAGTCCTTCCGAATTGTATTGTTTGATCGTATGTCTTTCGTAGCCGAGCGGTTAGGTACGTCTGATCCAATGACAGCCTCCCCATAAGGTATGTAGGTTAGAATTCTGCCGGAGGAGTCATATTTTTCTGACAGGATTTCGTGAAGATTCAGGCCAGTAGATGTAGTTGAATAAAAAATACTGTTTAAAAAAAGCAGATCTTCTATTCCAATATGAGTATCCATTAAAAATAACGCTTAAACAAAATTAAGAATAATATGTCGGATTCAATAAGTTTCTTAAATAAATTGTCTTTGTTTCTGTTAGGATACGAAACAGAGTAGATGTGGATGTTTCGAGAATATATGAGTGTTTTCTAACACACACAGACACACACACACACAGACACACACACACAGACACACACACACAAACAAATATTTATATATATATATATGTATATATACATACATACATAGATATATATGTGTGTGTGTGAGAGAAGAGAAGTGTGTGTGTGTGTGTGTGTGTGTGTGTGTGTGTGTGTGTGTGTGTGTGTGTGTGTGTGTGTGTGCATAAAATATAAAAGTGAGTTTGATATAAAATCTAACTCCGGTTGCATGCAGAGAACTATCGTTGTACAAAAATGGAATTTGTTCCAAAGAAATCTATATCAAATTTTAAAATATTTACCAGAGCGATTGTGCGGAAATAATTTTTTTTAACAAACGATGTCTTTTAATCACTTATACAGAACGAAGCCTACTTTCCTAACTACAACAACATTCAGCCTAAAATCTACAATGACACAATCGAAATCGCAAGATTTATATAAGAATATCTTCCTTTTCTCCCCTTCCTGAGTAAGACAATAAACTGCGTCCAACAGCAAGGTGCCTGATCAGAAGGTTTTGAGGTGCGTGTAACCACTTCTTAATTGCAGGTCTTCCCAGGTCCACCTGATCCAGGGTGGTAGTACCTTTTAATGTCCCAGCTATGGGAAAATAGTTAACCCCAAAAATGGAGTCAAAGTACTATGAAGGTGTAAAAATAGCTTTCAATACCAGCAATACTTTTTCGTAAAAAAAAATATTTCCAGCAATGAATTTTTGAAGAAACATATTATTACCAGCAATACATTTTTGGAAAAATATATTACCAGGCATATATTTTGAAAAAAAAAAAAAAGTAAAAATCTTGTCGACATTAAATAACCATTGTGGTTGATATACGGGCAAACAGACCAAACCAAAACCAAACCAAACAAACCAAACCAAACAAACCAAAAACCAAACAAACCAAAACCAAACTTTATTTTCTCCATATATTTTAAACGCACACACACACACATATATATATATATATATATATATATATATATATATATATATATATATATATATATATATATATATATATATATATATATATATATAAAGGTTAATGGTCAGAGTTGAACCAGACCAGGAAGGTATTTTTAACAAGTGCTCAATACACGTGAGAGAAAAATAAGTAAAATAAAAATAACATGTGGAGCTTTTAAGTTTAAAAATAGTTTAAAAATAAATTTATATATATATATATATATATATATATATATATATATATATATATATATATATATATAACACAGTTTAAAATAACTTTAACCCCAAACTGCTTCACCTCTGGCAGTGTGACTATTTCCTTGCTTGGTGTACGACAATTTCTGTGCCAATTCTTGACAACGTTAACACCCCCCTCATGCGTCTCAAGCTCAGTGTTAGAACAACCTCGGTACAACACACTTGCCACCTAGTCCGTTTGTGTCTTTGGAATTTTTCTTCAAAGAACATGATGTCTACCAAAAGGAAATCGCCTTTGTCTACTGCTCAACCATCCAAGAAGAAAAAAAAAGTCTATTCATCTTGATGCAAATATGATGGTGATTAATCAGTATGGAGGAGGAAAATAAAGTGAATGTTATCGCACGTGATCTGAAGTAATCACACTCGACTGCGTCGATGATTTTGAAAAACATAGAAAGACTTTGGAAAGACGTGAAAGGTTCTGCGCCTCTGCAATTGACAGTTACAGGTTTTTTTTTCTATGGTGAACAAATATTAAACCAACTATACTGCAGTATACAGTTTTAGATTTAAACCTGACGAACGCAAAAATAAGAAAGAAACCAATGTTTTGAAAGAAGTATAAACAACAAAAAAAAAACAACAAAAAAAAAAAAACTAAAAGTGGAAAAAAATACAATAATGCCTAGAGAATGATAAAAAGTTATTTACAGGCCGACGCCGACCTGTATCTATCTATGTATCGATTTCTGACCATGAGACTCGGGTTCAAATCTCACCATGGACGATTTGTCAGGAAGGCGATACCTAATGTTATCGGACTGGATCGAGACAGATCTCAGCGTGTGGCACCTTTGGAGAATGTTTGAAAACCGTACCAGGGGTTGACTCAAGTCTTGTGAGTGGAATTGGGCAGATCGAACTCTTGTGGGCCATCGATAGCTCTGAGAGTACGAAGACACAATGTGTCGGAGGTATTGGGCATGCTGAGCTTATTCAAATTGTTGATCACGCTAGATATCACGCTCTATCCCAGAAAATGTAACTAAGTTCTGCTCAACATAGTTGCAATATAAACCACAGGTTTGCTCTGTGGGTGCTAAACAAACACAAATATGCCTGAGCGAGTGTCTGAAATAGGGATTGACTAGCCGCCCTAGCACTGGAGGTATCCTCGAATAGGAGTGGAGAGCTATTTTACACACACACACACACACACACACACACACACACACACACACATATATATATATATATATATATATATATATATATATATATATATATATATATACGTGTGTGTGTGTGAAAATATATAGAAAATAGGAAAAGAACTGGTCAGGTAAATAATCCAAAGTTCCTTAGTATTTTAGTTATTATTTTTAAAAATAGTGCTCGATACAAAAGTAGATAAATATAATTATTTATTTGGATTATATTTTTAAATAAATATTTATATATATATATATATATATATATATATATATATATATATATATATATATATATATATATATATATATATATATATATATATATATATATATAGAGAGAGAGAGAGAGAGAGAGAGATGACGGGGCCAACCTGGCCTTGCGCCCAATGAAATCTGAAATGTCTGTC